AGGATATATCAGCAAAGTTGAAGCGGTAAATTGGCCAACGTAACAATTGCAAAAGCTGACATTTCGAGCGAACGCTCGAAACGTCAGCTTTTATAATCGTAATGGTGGCCAATTTACCATTTCAACTTTGTTGATATATTCAAATTATTTCGTTACCCCCCCCGACGCAGCCTCAAACAGTTTCTTTAAAAACTATCAGCCTTTATTCATTAGCATTTACCATAACTTGCCAGTTTGGGACGACGACTATTTAGAATTCTACTATTGGTTAATTTGATTCAAACTAAAATGTTTATAAATTTTCTTTATTGGTTGAGTTATTCATAGAAAAATTATCAGTAACGGTCACGGGAAACAGAATGAATATTTCGTTTTCAAAAAAAAAAATACAAGCACTTCTCCCTTCCCATTGTAGACTTGTGTTTGCAAAAAGAGAAGATTTTCTTTTGTGTTCGCTTCACAAACATTACCAGTTAAAAAGTGGTTGTGAGATTTAAGAGCGCTTTTTCGACAATTTCACGTGCTTGCATGAAAGAAGAAAACGTCTCATTAAGGATATACTATTTATACAAAAACTCGAATGTGATTTGAGGTAACGAACAGATTTTATTCGTATAAAAGGTTTTGTTACTCGACCATTTTATAGGTAAATATATTTCATCGCTAGCCTAATTATACGGTCTAGATAGGAGGGTTAAAATGTTGGTTTTCAATTAAAAATAAAAGGATTTGTCAGTTAATAGCTTATTAATTATTCATTAGAAATTTAGCTCAGTCTTTCCCCCGTTCTCAGCAATTTATATGCACAAATCTAACTAAAAAACAGTAACTGTGATTATGAAATGTTTAACTGGCCACAGCCTTCTAAAGCGTCTAGATTTCAGAAGTTATTAACTTGCGATATCTCTTATCAACATCGATTCTTTAAAATCTCTTAAGATCCAAGAGAATATCCTCTGATATTCAGATGATATTCTCTTGCTAGATCTTAGTATTTTGGGAGTGAAATAAATGAGATAAAAATACACGGGCGGGCATAGATGTGAAATTTCTCTTCAATTGTCACGAGAAATTCCATATCAACAAGCATTCATGAATTATTTTGTTTATCATGTAAACCCAATAGGCTTTTACTGACATGAAAAGTTGACATTATTAATGAAGCGTGGTGCGAAAGGCGAGTGTTAATGTTAGCAGCTGATTGGACAATGAAAAAAAAAAAAAAAAAGGTCAAAGTCTCTTTTGAGGCTCAGGTATTAGGAGGGAGAGTTACTGATTTGAACTTGGATTTTAAGAGTTATAAAAGGAGTTACTTTCTTTGAAGGTGAGCCTCCTTAAGCCATTAGGCTTTTTTACTTTTTCACATATACTTTTTGTTATACAGCTGTTGTTCCACTCATTCCCAAGTTGAAATTTGTTCCGATAGAAGAAGAACTCTTGGCGGTACGCAATGATTCAAAGTCTTCTTGCCTCCGAGATGCATTTTCGGACATTGTACTTGTAATTGTTTACCACTTTCCTCTCTACTCCAGTATTCCAACTCTCACTGCATTGTACAAGAATGCATTTCCAACGATCATGTATTGCGGACCGCAGAAGAATAAAAGCAACCTTGTTGAGGCTCTTGACGTTAACAAAGGATACTTTGCCTACATGTGCATGTCACGTGCCATGGAGAAATATCCGGGATACGCTGGTTATTTACAAATCAGCGATGACGTATTGTTAAACTACTGGAATCTGGTGGGAGTCAACCGAGACAAAATCAGAGTATACCCTAGGTATCCAATAGGGATCAAGGGTTGGTATTGGTGGAATTCAAGGTGGGGATGGAAAACTTGTCGCAAGGCTTACAATGAAATCTGGAGTTTGCGCAAGAGAGACCGTTCCTCAGACCCGTTACGGGTCATAAACGGGTCCGTCGATCTATTAAAAAGGAGTAAAAACTGGTCTCTCCTTTGCGATCGAGGACGCTCAGACATATTTTACATTCCCGGTAAATTTGCAGATGCATATCAAAACCTGTCCCATATTTTTCACAAGCATCAAACATTTCTAGAAATTGCAGTTCCTACGATGTGTCGAATCCTTGACAAGGTGGAAAATTTTCAGTATATCCGTGGAGTTTATCTCCCAGGGAAGTCAGCGGACGGGCAGTCTGAACTCTTCTGGAAAAAATATGACAAGACCCGCTTGGTGTTTATTCATCCTTTTAAACTTAGTTTTAAACATGATGGAGCCTTGAATAAGGAATTAATTAGAAACTGGATCCTAGAGTATAGTGACAATTTGAGTAAATGTTAAAGAAAAGTAATGACAGGAGCCTTGTGGTAGCTGGAATGCAGCTTGGCTCCTCGGGGGAATCTTGTGAATAATAACGAAAAATTAAAAGATTGCTACCATTTCGATAGCCTTAAAGCCTTATAGAGGATGATAAGGATACATTTTATTGGGTCTGCCAGTGTATAATGTGCAAATAAAAATAATAATTTCACTTATTCGTTGCGGAAAAGTATCATACGTTCTTGAAGATTAATTTCGTATCCCGTCGTCAGGTACATTCATGCAACATTGTCTATGAAAAAGTTTTTAGCTAGTAAAAGAAGAACTGTGAACATTATCCTTGTCTCAACCGGAAGCCATGGCTAGTGATGTTCCCAAAGGGCTGGTGTAGGCTTTGGTAGATTGTGCTGGCATGATGTCAAGCAAAATTCAGCAAAACGAGCGTTATTTTCAGCTTTTATTTCAGTTTAGCACTGCTGGCATAATCCGAGCTTTTATGCGTTGAAAACAAAAAAAAACCATCATAGCTCTAGAATAATTCAGTTTGTATTTTATTTTTGTTTTGTTTTTGGAAAATATTGAGGTCTTTGCCAAGGCCCATGGTCAAATATGGTACGGCAGGCGGCAGAGGTCACCCTGTGCATAAGATTGAGACTCAGGCCACCACGCTTATGGCTCGGCGGCTCGGCCCCTCAGGCCTCAGATCAAAGATGGCGTCGTCCTCGAGTACATCCACTTCCTCCACTTCAAGCACTTGCAGTGCCGTACCGAGAGCTTTAATCTCTAGCGAACGTATCATTTGTATCATTTGTTAATCATTTGGCTTTTCGAGGTGCGCACATGCGTATTTGCGATGCTAAAGACTGTAAGACTGGAAGGTGGACTATGTGAATGTTCATTAAAGTCAAAATTGATAGAGTTAAGCCACTGACGATCTTTATTTTCCTTAAAATCAGTGTAAAATGTAAGTAGCACAATTTCGGTGACAGAGAGCATAATTTTCAGAAAGTAGCATAATTTTTATTTATTTAATATTTATTTATTTATTCAAATTCAATTACACAGATAATAAAAAAAAAACAAAAACAAGGAGTTAAATATATATACAAGTATAAAAAAGAGATATCTGAGTAATTAGGCGAGTTTATACAGAATTCTAGATTCCTTATTTTAAATAAACTGCCTGTGATAAAATACAAAAAAATTAAAAACTAACTTAGACAAATAGCAACAACAATACGTAATGAAAAATTATAAAAATTTATCCTTACTTGAGTTAAATTTACTGATATAAAACTGATTCACTTTCTTACTAAACAATGATACTCGATCAATTGTCCTAATAGCTACAGGCAGGTCATTCCATAAATCCACAATGCGATTAAAAAATGAGGATTTAAAAACATCGGTTCTAAAGCGACCCTTGGCAAGTATGGCTTCTGTGTTCCTCATATCGTACTTATATGATTTGAAGATAACATATGATAGGACGTAAAAATCAATGTGCCCCTTCAGACATTTAAAAAAGGAACATAAATCTAAAACCTCCCTTCTAAACTCGAGAGGCAAAAGACCTAATTTTAGTAAACGTTCTGGATAAGTTAAATCACATTTCAAGATAAATTTGGTGGCACGCCTTTGAACACGCTCAAGGGCCTTAATTTTTTCTTTAGTATAGGGAGACCAAACTTGAGATGCGTACTCCAGCTGCGCTGCTACCAACGATTTATATAGAATCAACATAGTTTTTTGGTCGCATTCAATGGTGCACGTTCTGTAGATAATACCCAACATCTTATTTGCTTTACTTATAGCAAAGTCAATGTGATCGTTCCAGGATAAATTCGAAGAAACATGAACGCCTAGATCTTTCTCATTTGAAACGACTGCAACCTTTGACCCGCTCAGATTATATGATGTGTGCATAAAACTCTTTTTCTTTGTCCCGACAAGGTGCTTACACTTATTAGCGTTGAAATTCATGAAATGCTCAGACGACCAACCAGTTAAGCTTAGTAAGTCTCTTTGTAGTTGAACTGCGTCAGCACCGTTATCAATAACTCGATAACACTTCATATCATCCGCATAGAGTTGGACAGTAGTCTTAGCATCTGTCACACTTGGGCCACTGTTAATATATATTATAAACAACAAGGGTCCCAGGATAGACTCCTGGGGCACACCGGATGAAATAGGTAGTAAAGAAGATGCTCGGCCATTTATAACTGTCATATGCAAACGATCTGTCAGATAACCTCTAAACCAAGATAGCAAGCTCCCTCTTATACCAACGCCATACAGTTCCCTTAATAAGCAGTTAAATGATACAGAGTCTAATGCTTTACTGTAATCCAGTAATACTGCATCAAGCTGTTTCTTCTCATCAAGTGCTTTGGCAAAGACAAATGTAGATCTGAGAAGACTTGTAACACATGAACGTCCTTTGACAAAATCGTCTTGTAGATGGTAAAGTTTAGGCTGGATAAAGGGAAAAACACATGAAAAAACGCACTTTTCAAGGACTTTGGAGATGATACACAGCAATGATATCCCTCTATAGTTTTCAACCATTTCCTTGTCAACAGACTTAAAAACTGGAACCAGATTAGCCACCTTCCACATTTTTGGAAAACAACCACTACCGAGTTGTTTGTTGAACAAGGTACAAAGAGGAGATGAAATCAAATCTGCACACTCTTTCAGTAGCCGAGATGTTACATCATCTGGACCGCAGGATTTACAGATGTTTAACTCTTCCAAGAATTTCAAAACAGTAGCCGGGGAAAGTTCCCCGTTCCCCGTTCCCCGTTCCCCGTTCCCCGTTCCTCGTTACCAGTTTTAGTAACATCCAATTAGAACCCATACCCAGCTGTGAATTTCAAAGTCGCATAAAGCTCGTCATGGAGACCGAATTCGAAGTGACCGAAAGGAATATGTTTATATCGTAATATTGTTTTGTTCCTCTCGTATATGTGTATGCTGGTATTTATCCCCTGTTCATTAGTCCATTTGTCCGCATTTATATTTCACTTATCAAAATTCATTAATCACCGGATACTCAGATTACCTTTAAAGATTGTCGCAAGCACTTTTGTCCTGTTTGCGACAACCTTTCTCGAAGTATTTGTACCTGAACTGTTTTGATTGGTGGATACAAGTTCAGGGAACTTAGCACAGGAAATAAATTGATTGACTTAGCAAACAGACAGCCCACAAGAAATTTTCGAGCTGTCCGGTACGTCCACTCTTCAACGCTGTTCGCTTCTTCGAGACAAGTGAAGAAGGTGCGAGCCTCGTCGACCAAAATGTTAAACGGCAATATTTTACGCTCGAACAGAAGACTGGTGCTGGTGATTGTTCTCGCAGTGTCGCTGGTGTATGGCATCGGTTATGGTGGGTAATATGATTTTCAGCTAAGCCTTTTACAGCAAGATTTCCGTATAACCCAGTCTGACTTCATTATGCATACAGTTTTTGGGTAAAAGAAAACAAGAGCATTTACCATAAATTGGCCCTGGGACAACGACTCTTTAAAATACTATGGCTTTAAACTAAAATATGTCCTTTTTTTTTTTTTTTACTGAGTAGTTGAGTTATTTATCGCCGGAAAAATTGTAATCATTGAGCACGGGAAACAAAATGAATCCTACGTCCCCCGACGATGCGCAAAATTGTTTAAAAAAACTAGGACCACTTCCTTCCCATGATAGACTTTCGAATCTCTGTTATTTCCGAGCTAGTAATGTTTGCGAATGGAGGAAGGTTTTTTTGTGTGTCCTCTTCACAAACATTACCAGTTAAAAAGTGGTTGTGAGATTTAAGAGCGCCCTTGAGACAGTTTTACGTGCTTGCACGAAAGAAAAAATTTCTCATCAGGGAGATACTATTTATACAAAAACTCCAACCTAATTTGAACTAGCAAACAGATTTTATTCATTAAAAGGTTTGTTTGCGCGACCATTTTGTTGGTACATTTTCTCATCGCCAGCCTAGTTTTACGGTCTAAATAGGAGGGTAAAAATGTTGGTTTTGAACTGAAAGATAAAAAGCTTTTGTCATTTGACCGCTTATCAAATATTCATAAGAAATTTAGCTCAGTTTAAAAGCGGCGCTCCTATGTAAATGCGCAAATTGAACCAAAAATATCAGCTGTGATAAACAAATGTTTTAAGGGGCGACAGCTGTCTAAAGCGTTTGGATTTCAGAAACATTGATTCTTAAAATTATCCAAAGAAATTTACAAAGAAATGTTTGCCAACTAGAAGGATGAATTGCTGATTAGATCTTAGATTTTTGGGAGTTAAATAGGTAAAAATACACGCGCGGGCGTATGTAGATATGAAATTTCTCTTCGAATTGGAGGAGAATATCCTCTCAAGGAGAAACCATTTTTTGTCGCTTTGCCTTGTATTTTTTTTCACACATCGTTTTATTCTTATAGGTTTAATTCCTCTTAGTCCTATTTTAAAAAATCTTCTAGTTGTAGATAAATTATTGGCGGTACGCATTCAATCAAGTTCTTCGTACCTTCGAGACACAATATCAACAGAAGTTTTTGCGACTCGTAGTGGTTCAAAATCTTCCTGCCTCCGAGATGCATTTTCAGGCATTGTGCTTGTGATTGTTTACAACTATGCTTTCTACTCCAGTATCCCAACTCTTACTGCACTGTATAAGAATGCCTTTCCAACGATCATGTTCTGTGGACCGCAGAAGACTTGGAACTACACTGTCGAAGCTCTTGTCGTTAAAAGAGGTTTCTTCGTCTACAAGTGCATGTCACGTGCCATGGAGAAATATCCGGGATACGCTGGTTATTTACAAATCAGCGATGACGTATTGTTAAACTACTGGAATCTGGCTGGTATCGACCGAGACAAAATCTGGGTATTTTCCAGGTATTCAATTCGTATCAAAAACTGGTTTTGGTGGACCTCCAAATATGGAGTGAAGACTTGTCAGAGGGCTCTCAATGAAATCTGGACTTTGCGCAAATCTTTTGAAAATGAATGGCTGCTGAACATGACTAGTACTTCAGTTAACAAGGAAGACCATTCCCTTGACCCGTTACGGGGCATAAACGGATCCGTCGATCTTTTCAAAAGGAGTGAAAACTGGGCTCTCCTTTGCGATCGAAGACGCTCAGACATATTTTACATTCCTGGTAAATTTGCAGCTGCATATAAAAAACTCTCTCATATTTTCCACAAGCATCGAACATTCCTAGAAATTGCAATTCCTACAATGTGTCAAATTCTCGATAAGGCGGAAAATTTTGAGTACATCCCTGGAGTTTATCTGCCAGGATACTCAAGGGACCGGGAGTCTTTGAACTTTTGGAAAACATATGACAAGACACGGTTGGTGTTTATTCATCCTTTTAAACTAAGTTATAGACATGATGGAGCATTAAATAAGGAAATACTAAGGAGCTGGATCTTAGACTATAGTGACAGTTTGAGTAAATGCTAAGCAAAGTAATTACGTGAGCTTGTCCAAGGAGACGCAACTCCGGGGCATCTTCATAATCGATAATGTAACTGCCAACAAGTCCTGTTTCAACGCCCGCTTTAACTTTATTATACTTTACGGGCGATCGTTGTTGCTAAAGGAACAAAATAATTACTAGTTATTACAAAATATAAGTAGAAGGAATAGAAACGTAAACACACTTGGAGGTTTGCTAAGCACTCAAGAAGTTAGAGGCGCTCTCGGCTATCGCCTCGTGCGACTCTTACGCTTCTTTCGTGCTTAGCAACCTCCCTATCCCGCGTGCATTCATAACTCAATAGTGTACACTGTCGTGTTTACCATTTGTTAATTCTGACCTCCTCATCGATATATTACTTCACAGACTTACAGCAGCTAGGTCCTAATACATGGTACTGTCATATTTTTTGGCATAATTTGGAAGAACAAGCTTAATTTTTGCTCCTTTTATAAAAGTAGCATTGCTAGTATTGCGTTGAACTTTTGAAGACTTTGCATTTCCTTTGTCAGGAGACTTAAAGTAAGATATAGACTACCTAAACAGCACATTATAATTTTATTATTCATAGCCATCATGATATAATTATGTAGTTTAGGTTAGTGATATTTTTCCTTAAAAGGAGAATTGTAACTTGCAAGATTTTTTTTATTTTTTAAACACTTTCATGTTAGATTCTGTAATATTATAGCTTTTTCAGTAATCTCGACAAATTTAATTAATTTCTTTGTTGTTGTCATCATCATACTAAACGAAGCGTCTATCCCATAGCTTTTCTTAGATTTTTGTCAGACATTTTAAGCCTTTTAACATGATTTTTGTAAATTTTTAGTGATTATAGCATTGCTAGTATAATCAGCTTATTTTTCTCAGTTTTTTCGAAGGGAGGATCACGAGAGTTACAACTTGACTGGTCTCTTAAATTGATTACTTTCAAATTTGGTTCATTATTCAGTCTATTTTCAATTTTGTAATGTCTTGGCCAGAAGGAAGTTACACCGCAAGAAAAGGTTGCGTACATGCGTCGGTCCCAGTTCCAACCTCGTTCCTAGGGTCTTGGATGAAAGACCCTGGGAACGAGGTTGTCCCGGTTATTTAGGCAATAAAATGGCGTCGATGAGAAACGGGATGCTAACATGGTACAATTTGACACATGTTAAGTCACCGCTTCTATAGTTTACAATTACGTGCAGTAGTTAATTGTGTTTCTTCAGAGCAAGCGTACTACTCAAAATTAAAAAGATATCATATCATGCGTTATTACATCCATTTTGAAATCACTGATGATCCTTGCAATCTGATTGGCTCCCATTGGTGCGATTTATTCATGAATCGCTCCTTTTTTGGTCTAAATCGCATCTGTTCTCAGCCATTGAAAAACCTTTATTATTTAAAGTAACGAATAATATTGCAAGAAATTACCAACTTGGCACCGGTTGTTCAAAGGTTGAAAAACGCTATACGCTGGATAAATTTCTCTCCTGTGAATAGCGCAGTACGTTTTGGTATCACTCATCAGCTGGATAGCGATTTATCCGTTGCCTAGTGTTATCCGCCCTTTATACAACTTGACCCAGCTTAGTACGGAATCAATAAACCATTTCTGCACAATGTAATTTATTTTGTTTAATGTAATAAGCTGAATATGCATGCATTTTGATTGGTTCTTTACTCTGACCATAAGAGGATAGACGCACGATGACACGTCCCCTTTAACCATTGTTTGCTTCTTTATCTTATAAAACAACTAGATTTCATGTTAGCGTGGGTCTGTTCGCTGATACATCACAGAAGACGTCAAATGTATTAAGAACAGTGACACACTCGGCTGTGCCTCGTGAGCCTTCTTTTTGTTTTGGTCACACTGATTTTGACGCCATCTGTGATTTATTACCAAACAGACGCACGCACAGCAACATGAAATCCATTTGTTGAATTTGTGACGTGGTCTCAGTCATCTAATAGATGGTAAATAAAAACCAATGATATTGTGTAATAATTTGGATATATCAACAAAGTTGAAATGGTAAATTGGTCACCGTAACGATTACAAAAACTGACGTTTCGAGCGTTAGCCCTTCGTCGGAGCGACAAAGGGCTAACGCTCGAAACGTCAGCTTTTGTAATCGTTACGGTGGCCAATTTACCATTTCAACTTTGTTGATATATCCAAATTATTTCGTTACCCCCACCGACGCAGCCCCAAACAGTTTCTTTCGAGACTATCAGCCTATATTCAATGATATTGTGTGTATGATTATAGGTTTTCACGTAAAGTTTGATACCAAAGATCAATGGAAAGATTAGCGTATCACCCCGTACTGCTCTAAAACAAAGCCCGTCACAGAGAGTAATCTACAGAATGACCGTAATGGCTATTGTTTTTGCTGTTGTTATATTTTATCGAAAAACTGCACAACAACATGCAACAAAGTTCGCGCGCAACAACAAAAATTAAGAATAGACAGGAATTTTATGGTTTTGATAAAAGTTATTGCGCTCTTTTGGTTTATTTTTTTTCCTCCGTGATTGCGCGACTAATAGGGTGAACCGGAAAATTTGACCGGAGGCATACGTGACTATCAAGGCCGAAAAGCAAAGTGGGACTGTTTACATTTTCTTAAAGAAAACGTGATCGAACTGTTGTTTGGCAAAGTTGACTCAAATAGACTGTAATCTTCAGTCTAGAATTCGCTTGGACATGTGATGGTTTCGTGATGTTCAAATAGTGTAATTGGCAGCATTTCTTGGTTTTTTAACGCAGATGTATACGCACAAATAGACATTCGCAACGAGGAAGAAACAAAGAACACGACGCCATAACGAGATGGATAGATAATACTCCCAAGAGAGCAAAACGCTAATGAGTATTTCTTTTAAGCAGACTGCGAAATTCGACCACGAGAAGGATCGCATTTAATTCTTTAAAACAGATTTGTGGGAGCAGTTCGTCATTTGAAGTTTTCAACCTGATTTTCGAGTTTTATAACTTGTTTTGAAAATTTTCGTAAACATGAATATCCCTTCCTACGTTGGACCTCTGGGAAGTGCGTTTCTATTTTTATTGGCTGTCTTCGGAGTTTGCTTCTATTACTGTTACTTGAAGCCGAGAAGACAACGAAATAATACCCAAGCAGGCAAAAGTATGGCCTCAAACACTGGATCTCCTCGTATTACTGCGCGTTCATGTCCCTCGAGTGGGGCGAAGACCTATCGATACGAAGAAGAGTTTAGCTATGGATCGGCGTTGTCCCCATATTCGGCTGGTTACTGTTTTCACGGAGGTTTCCCGATTTCTACTTCTACAGCGACTTATTATCAGCATAATACACAACCAGCGAAAAAATATCTAGGACCAGCGGTTGCTAAAGTAGTGAAGTCAGGAAGTAAACAGTGTCAGAAGGCGAAACCCTGTGATCTTCGAGTGGACATGTTGAAAGGGCATTTACACGGCGCAGGACATAAACCATTTCCCGTTCGTCAGCTGAGCTGCGATAGTCAAGGAAGTTTTCGAAACTCCTGCCATTTGCAGGTTATTCAAGAGAGTGAATGCGAGGAGGAGGTAGAGAAAGAAAACGAAGAAATTTCTGAGAACAACGACAAAGGGCCCAGTGATATAGTTTAAAACCCCACAACCAGCTCTAGTTGAAGGTATGATTCCCAGGGCTTTTTAGATCACAACAGAGGATAAAATGTTTCACGATTTTGATTTTGATGTTGGCAAAACTTTTCTTAACTTTATATTGTGCTCTGTAGCTAATGTTAAAGGAATTACGGTAGAGTTTAGGTGTTGCACTATAAACAGCATAACTAATATGACTGTTATAGACTCAGTTACCTCGGGTATCGTTTGAAGGGGAGAAGGAATTTTTTTGTCTCGACTAAAGTTTATAAATGATTTTGGCAGGCAAATTGTGTTTTTGTATAGGGTTGGCAACTTTTGTGATCCCTGTTAAGGCTTAAGTGGACCATAATATTTGAGTCGGTGTTCATTCTTTAGTTAAAGCATTTTATCATGTTCGTGTATATTGCTCTTTAGTAGAAATCCATGATAATTCTATCACATATACTATTATTTCGTTCATTACACACACCTTCTCCTTGTTGATCTTTTATAGAAAGTTTGTAGAAAGGAAGGCCTAAGTGTTTGTAGTTGTATGTCCATGAGATGACAGCCACTGCAGTTCCATTTACTTCATGCTCACGATTTTCACCTAGAAATACATGTAATTATAGTAGCATAAAAACGTTTTGTAAATTAACTGGTTAATATTCTTCGTGTTTGGACAAACAGCAGCACAGGCCATTACAATTAAGCCCAAGAATTCCTGGTTGCAATCATAGAATTCTCTGATCTGCGATAGTTAGATTTACATCTCAGTCATTTTCTGCACTGTCTGCCTTACATTTGTTTAATTTTAGTACTGAAAATTATGAGTTAAATCAACCAATATCCCATGGTTGGTATTTTGTATTCTTCTCATGGCCTGCTGGAAAATTGTTTGATGTGATGAGGTGAAATTCAATTTTATTTAAACTCCTTGAAGTGGAAGGGCTAACCACTATAATAAATGGTTAGATATTCTAGTCTTCTCGGATAGGGATGAATAAATGGAGGTCCCGTCTCTTGCAGGGTTAGGGGTAGGAAACGTTAATTTCCCATGCACGAGATTACTGTGTGATGGATGTCCTTTCCTGGGGTGGGATGGGTGGGTTTATTGGGCTCGCAGTAATCGGCGCAAGCTGTTACGGTGTCCCTGCCAGTTGGCAAAGCTAAATAAAATAAAATAAAAATAATATAAAAATAATAATTCTAACTGCAAACTAAACTTTATTAACAGTGTAAAATTTCCACTCAGTAGGTGAATGGGTGGAGGGAGTTCTTGTGGATCTAGATGCCAACACCTTGAAGTATCTGATGTTTGATATGGTATTTGCTTCTTTTAGTACTTTTGGCAGTTCAAGTGTGTCTTACTTAGCTTTTATTGTTGATCAGATTTCAAGTGATAGTGGACAGTGATTCCATTGATCATCAATGGAGTCAAAATAAATAAAAATGTTTTTTCTTTTCTTGGGTCTGAGTCTAAAGGGAAGCTGGTTACTCTCAGCCATACATTGTATGGGTAGGAGGGAAAAACAATTTTAGAGGAGCAAGTTAGAAGTGGGAGTTTCTTAAGTTGTGTACCTAATTTGAATATTTTTCCTATAAAAGAGAGGATGTCTTGGAATAAATATTTCATTGCTTTCAAAATTTTATTGCTTTTAAAATTAAAATAATTATTGGCTTCTGTCAAATCACCAGCATCTACTGAAACATCTTTCAGTTTTTCTTTTTTTTTTTTTTGAACTGTTCTTTATTTTTTTTGAATGTTCCATTACATGTAGAGTACACCCCATGAGCACTCACTAATACTTTTGTGCCTGGAAGCACTTTGCTTTACATTACATAAGTCACAATCCATAATCATTCAGTTTGCAAATCTATCTTGCAGCCCCAGGATGTGCCTTTTGGTTAATTATAGATAGCACATAGACAGAAAAATAAGCATTGTGGTGTATCATAACTTATAGGTAAATAGATTTCAAGAGAACAATGAGATAAGTTGATTTTTCAATTTTTAAGTGGCGTAAACAGTCATATTTTCAGTTAGAGTATTCTAATTTTTTTTATCTTTTTTGAGTTTTTTTTTAAAAGCATAGCTGCCATAAAACATGCCTTGAGCTGTTAGATATCTGTTTCATGCAGATACTGTTCTAAACAGTGTTAGAAACATTTCATAGTATGATTGTGTTCATATGTAAATATGACTTCAAATGACCGGGTTAATTATTTCATTTTGGTTTGTAGGAAATCAGGTGTTTGAATCAAAGTTTCCAATTTAGCCATCTGATTTTTATAGTCATATGCTTTTCAAACGAGGGAGAGAACCCTTTTCATTGGCATAATTTCGCAGATGATTCTTCTTTTCATCTGCCTCACATTTTTTTATGATTTGATATTATCAGTTCTTCGTTTTTCTGTAGTTGGTTTTTGTTTTAGAAATTGTCTGTTAGCATGACAGTAAAGAAGAGGTGTCGTATTGGTTTTTTCCTGGTAGTGAAAGGGGTTCAACTTTAAGCCTTCATTATTGTGTGAGTTACTTTTGAAATTACTTGGGTAGAACTTTCGTCCTCTTGATCTTTGTTAGTTATAAACATTGTTGCAATTAGCATTTAAATTTGTCCACCTCGAATTTCTTGTGCTGTTATTGATTTCACCAATCAAAGTTTCCTGATATGCTAGTCCAGGGTGTTAATTAATAAGCAGGTACGTATTTGGTGTCTAGTTATAAAATTTTACTTTTACCAATCACTTCTATTTTTGTGGACCTTTAGTTCATTTTGAGTGAATGTGCTCTGTAAGGAAATATTCATACTCAACTGACCCAATTGGTTGATAAATGGATTTTCCAAGGAAGTAGAGGGTGGAGAAGGATTTATCTAAACCTTTGGTGTTGAGGTCCGGAATTTTACTATATCAACTCAACACTATGCTCAGACCAACAGTTTTTTTACACTTAAACTGATATTTTGAAAGTTTGTGTAAGTTGAAAATATTTTGATCCCATGCAATCATGCAACCATGGCTGCTTTAAAATAGCTATTTATATATGCGAGAAAAAAGCTATGTTATCAGAGGCGGATATGATGTTATCAGTGTATGATGTAGCATAACTTCAGAGACTTTTTTTATGTGATGTAGAGTTAAGATATAAAGCAAATTTATTTATTAAAGAAATGAGTAATTATCAGAAGACTTCTTGTTCTTTGATATTTTTTTCTTGAATTGATACACATTTGGACAACACTAAACCATTCCAGCACACAAATTTGTGTTGGTACTTCATTCAAAATTATGCCCTGTTGTTTTTAGAATGATTAGCTGATGAGCATGATTTTCATTTACCAAAGCCTATAAGCCTGGATACCGACGATCAAAAAACACTACAGTAGGAGAGCCGTGCGGCAGCGAACCACAGAGGGAACCTGATCCGAAAGATACACCAATCATAGCCGTGGAGTTCCATCCAATCAGAGCTGAGCACAATAGCATATAGGTAACTCGTATTCAGTGGGCCTGATAGCCCTAAGTGTTATTTAGCACGATGCAAGACTAATCACAACCTACTTTTAGATATTTTACGATTTATATATATATATATATATATCTACCCCGACTACGTCAACATCATGTTCCTTTGCTTCCTCGCGCGTGTCATGTGCATTCTGGTTCCTGATCCGTCACGGGGGTCTAAACTGACTTGTAAACATGATGTCCGACGACGACAAAAATTGACTTTGAAAAGTTTTTCAAAAATTTACTTTGACATACATTTTCCTGTACTAAATAAACGCCGCCATAGAATAAACACCGCACACGAATCGCGAATAATTTTATAAACGTGGTGGCGTTCAATCTGATGAATGCTGTAAATGCCATGGACAAACCTTTCTCAGTGTGGAGCTTAACTATTCAACATAACCAACTTTAGTCCTCAAGTATTTCATGTGGTATTATCGACAGTGTGCGTTTTCAATCCATCCTTTGAAACTGAAAAATTTTTTTGGGAAGTTTTTGCCTAACACAAACAGACAGTGCTGAGTTAGATATGGCTTCAAGAACAATCCTAAGAGCCCAGCCGCATACATTCCAGCGGATGATCCCAGTGTGAGTATGCCCAGTGCGAACTCTCCCTCAGTTACATTTCTAACTTGTTCAGTTATGACAAGAGGCGAGTTTGCGTAATGGCTCCCTGCTATAAGGCCAATAATGAAGCATGAAACCAGGATGACTTCCACTTCAATAATAGGGTGAAACCATGACAAAAACACAAGGCAAAACATCATGATATTACCACCAGTAGCTAGTATCCACATGTGTTTGATTTGCGCATGACTGGCTACACATGGGCATGTGATTGCAAGCAGCAGAAGATAGGAGCGTCCAATCAGTGAGCCGATATCATGAGCGAGCGAGTAGTAAGTGTAATGACCAATACGGAGATCGTGGGCCTCGCCTGTGGATGCCAGTGTTGGGATGATCGTTTGAATCGAGAGGTGATCCGCAAAGTATTGCATAAAGAGGTAAGTTATGGGCATGAATAAGTGGAGTAAGGTTCGCACTTTTACTGTCATCGTGCTTAACTGGCTTGCTCTCTTTTTTTGATCGCCAAAAGTATCGTAGTGAACATCTGGGAAGGAAGTAGAGTTGTTTTCCGATCGTTGATCGACGTAGGACTTGTCCAAGACCACAAACGTAATAACGAAAAAGAACGTGGAGGGGATCAGAAATGATACTGCGATTCTTGGCGGAACACACGTCCATGTTGATATACCTGTAAAAAAAAAAACAATGGATGCCGTATGGAGGGAACAAAACCGCGGTAAAGCTTACAAATGACCTTTATCCATAATAATCATTTTGTTCTAGATACTACTGACACAATACGATGCACAGAAGCAGGGTGGGGTAGGAGATGAATTTTGCCTCGGATAAAGTACCTCTCCTTCAAATTCCACACGGAAATAAGATGAATTTTTTGGGGAAACATGCCTCAGACCCTCAGGGAAGCTTTCATTATTGGGACGCGTTTTCAAGCCCTAAAATATTTTAATTTTTTTCAATATCCTCGTTGTGGAATTGTTATTTTACTCGCTCTGATCGGCTCAAATTGTTGTGGACTTTATCCGCTGCAAATCTTTAAACCCTCATTGACTTAATATTGATCGCTACAGGTCCGGTAAACTTCTTTTATTTATGCCCACGGCCCGCGTATCCCAATCTACTTTGCACCCCGCCTTACTTCCTTCTCTAATTTGTTCATTTTCCATTAATCTTTGTTATGGATCAGTTCGTGGACACGAAAATAGTCTTAATTCCCGTTATCTCAAGATCTAATTCATTTGCTACACCTATTCAAGTTGAATGAATCCTAAATACAAACCTGAGTAATAAACAGCACCTAATACTGTACCCAATCCACCCCCGGCTGCGAAACTGATAACGGCGACGTCCCCATAAAAAGCTCCAAGAGAAAGAAACGTACTTTCTGCCATTGCGCTGCCTACGTCAAGAGAAATAACGCCAACATACCGTGATGCGGGTGAACTAGCAACAGTGGTGATCACAAATGCAGCTGTATAAAGGACAAACGGCAGGGTGAGTTTGCCACTGTATGGAAGAACTTTCCACGAGACCCATGGAACAACTAGTTTAACCATTACCGGTGACATCCCTGACACTACCATAGCTTGCTTCATTGCGACAGAACTTTCAGCGAACGCATCCAAAGAAGCCAAGGCTATCACCTCGCGGAAGAACACCTGAAGACAACCAAATACGAAGAAACAAGACACGATCCAAAAAGGCCCCTTCATCGTTTCAGGCCCCATCTGAATTTTCTCTTTCTTTCAAGACTGCTTAGTACTTTAAGATAGGTCTCGTTCGAAGTAATCAGCACAACATATGTTTGATGCTATTTATCGCTGAAATTGTACGTGGTTATTGAAAGAACAGTTATTTTGTAATAAATCAAAATGACGCATATTGGGCTTTGTGTTATACCACGCTTGATCAGTAGACTGTGGCAGTTTGGGTTTGTGGAGAATTTTGATCAGGAACGATTAATGAAGAAAACACTAGAACTATTCTGTGTTTTCTAAAATAGCACATTCTTAGACAAATCAATGGTTTCTGTCTGCATGTTTTTGTAAACAAATTTTGTGGACAAAAAGCGAAATACATTTAAAATTCATATTTTCCTCTGCAAGATTTCATTAGCATGTCCATTTACTGGGTGTCGCAGAAATTCTGTCACTACTCATACACTGGGTATTGCGGGAAATTGATCTGAAACCACTCGTACACAAGATGTTGCCGAAATTCTCCAAACACTCACTCCCTCGCTAGACATCGCAGAAATTCCGCGAACAAGCCTTCACTGGATCTCATAGAAATTCTGCATCCTTTCATTCTCTAGATGCTGCAGAAGTTCACTCATGGCGTGATAGTTCTCCATGGACGAAAGATCCTGCAAAGTATTGTTTAAAACTGTTTAAAGTCGTCGAAATTAACCCACCGATCTTCATCGCGAAGTCTTCTCTTTGGTCGTGATTCCAGAGTCGTAAAAATCAACATGGCATATAGAAATGGGAGACGTATTCAGTCCGGTGTACTCGCTATCATCGATGGATAGAAGTTAACTCCACTCATAGGCTGACAAGAGCGCTTACCCAACAAAACTGACAAAAGCCCAATTAAATGATAAATAACTTAACATTTTATGGGCGGCTGATAGTGGTTTGTAAAGAAATAGGTTCAAAGGACGTTTGCCCTTCATTGAAACTGCACAGTGCACAGCTTACGAGTTTCAGTCGTTTGTGCTTTTTGACACTAACCCTAAGAAAATAAAAACTGCAAATGCCACTTTCTGATCTCCACTCAAAATGAACATGACTGATGATCCTCTTAGGGTGAAATGTCCGGATGTGGAAACGGAATCTCTTTAAAAGGCAGGCACGCATGAAAAACAGTGAAACGGTAACAAGGTAAAACAGTTAAAACGCCAACAACCTCGAAAATTGTGACTCAAAAAAACTTAAAAAAAAAAAAAAAAACTCAAAACTTAACATACACACGCGAAAATCGTACGCGTGTTTTTACCGTGTTACCGTTTCGCCGTTTTCAAGCAACTAAACAAGCCTGCATTTTCAAGAGATTTCCGTTTCCGTTCCTCTGTCAGTTAGTTTCTTCTACTACAACGATTACTACACCTTTCTAGCCAAACTGATCATGAGTCAAGTTGAAAATCAGCCCATAATTAAAACAGGTCATTCCATTTCGTCTCTACACTTGAACGGAAGTGATGGGAGAACTTTCGACTATGATCGACCTTTCAAAGTCAGAAAACTCATTTGAATTACAAATGTTTCAATAAATCAATATTCATAATTTCTATCAGTCCAGCACGTGGAAAGAACTTACGAGTAACAAGAAACTTCTACGTCTTTTTCAGCTACTCCAGGACAAAGAAACCTGTCATTTCAACCCAATTACTTTGGATATTATCAGCTTAGTCATGGCCAGCCTGTGTTTCCTCGGGATACGTTGCTGAATGAACAAGTTCGACGTCGAGGATTGCCATGACAGTTGTTGTTGAACCACACTACTTTTGGGGCGGCAGCGCCAAATGACTTGTTCATTGCTATTGGCAGATCGATCTCTTGTTTAGCAACTTATTTTTGCTTATTTTTCATTTCTCTTCTCCTGATTCTGATATCAGTTTATTCGTACGTGTAAGAAGCCTTATGGCGTTTTTGTACAGATGTTGTTTTAAACGGTTTTGTTATCTCCCCAACTCGAAGTCTCCTCACTCCGCCTCTCCATCATCTCATTTTTAGAGCAACACCGAAGTTCCCGCATTGGACTTGCGATTTAGGGGTTCCATTTTCAAGTAATAATTTATGGACCGCTTTTGTTGTGCTTTTGGGAAAAAACGTTGAACTAAAAAATAGCACCTCCCACCCGGGTACATAATTTGATACCAGAGGGAAAACCTGAAAATATACAGAGGAAGGGGGGTGCGTGAGAAAGGGAAGGAGGGGACCCTGCTAAGTGTAACATCCCATCAAAGAGGAGTAACAATGCTTCAATAGTGATTTCGTGTTCATGAAACAGGGATAAACTTCGGTTGCTATGCCTGTCAGTTTCTGATGCTGAGACCGACCAGCATCTTAAGTCCTAGAAACTTTTCTTTTTCCTGGCCATAAGCGTCGGATGCAATGTTACATTCACTGTGTATAACTGGTGGCTGTCATATCTTCCTTTTTCAACCTTACTTCTCGGACTCTTTTCATTCGTTGATTTTTATTCATAAAATTAATGATGGATTGAAGATATGTATGCATTTGCCAGGGTGTCTTTCTTTTTTGCCTTCTGATAAAGTTTTAAGAATCAAAAGAAAGGCCAACATTATGACATAAGCATAATGTGATTTTATTTCGAGGCCCATCATAGTCAAGTATTTAGGTGTGCCTTTGCGTTGTCAATCACAGATCTTAAGCCAATCAAATGAGGTCAGATCAAATAGAACCAAAGTTATAGGCAAGGTCAGTTTCTCTCCTGGTCGTTCTGGTCTTTATTAATTCCCATCGTGTTAACGTCCGCACACAGATTTTCGGTACTGTAGAAGAATTTTTGCGCCCCCTCCCCATGCTCCGGCCCTCTCTTCAGGCTTTCATTGTCTTTTTATACGTATTTGGCTCTTTGCCGTGATTTAACCCCACCTTCGCTTAAGAGATTGCATGATGTTTATTATATCAATGTTCTTGAGGTCAGGTGAAATAAAAGCGTCACTATTGTGGCCAATTTATCCCACAGATTAGCAGTTATTATTCAGTTTATCTCCCGTCAACAAACTAGTGGGACTTCGCATAGAGCCTCGGTCCCGTTTCGGTAGAGAAAAGCGGATTTCGTAATAAAAAATAATTTGGAAATCCAAACATGCATTAGGGTTGGTTATTTAATTCTCCATGGAAACAAATCATCTTAGATTGTTTGTTTGCAGTACAAGATAACAATGATGGTGTCAATGATTAATAATACTTGACAAAAAGTTCTCAAAAAGCCAAAATATGTTTGAAACTGCCCTTTGTAGGGAGAAATTAATGAAAAAAGCAATTATACTCTTCGTCCAAAAATTTACGTTTGAAAATTCTCTCGTTCATCTAAACTGTGGACGATTTTGGAAACAATTTATCTTCTTCTGTCCTATAAAGTCCTCTCGAAAGAAGAAATTCTGATTCTTTTAAAATTGACAAAAGGAAACCAACTTAAATTGTGCTTGTCCTTATTTGTAAACAAATCCCTCGTTATCAGTCAAAATGACTCGAGAATTTTTCAAAATGATTCGTAATTGTTTTCTTTGTCATAAAACCAATGCCGGGGCTTATCCTTTTTCTTTTAGTTTGGCAGCTATTTTTCTATGATTTTCTAAACGGTTTCCCATATTCATCCCTATCACAAATAAATATTCTCGAGATACAGAAAGCTATTTCTTTCTGGTTTATATGACACTCCATTTCAAATAAATCGAATTTTTAAAAAACCTCGTTGCCAGGCATAAGATTTTTTCAACGTAGTTGACGGAACATTTAAAATAAATTCGAGTTCCCTAAAAAGATCCAAAAGCATATGGAATTAAAGCCTACATTAATAATCGAATAAAATCCAGAACAACGAAGATATAAATCTTATTCGATGATTGAACATCATGCACGTGGATAAAATGCAAGCTGGGTTATAGCCCACTTTCATAAATGGCTGCCGTATAAATATCCTTTTGTTTAAATTTAAATTAGCCCTACTGGCCTCGCTTGAGATAATGTATTCTTTTGAATTTTGTACTGGAGAACGAGGCCAATAGGGCTAATTTAAATTTAAACAAAAGAATATTAATCCGGCAGCCATTTATGAAAGTGGTCTATAAATATGTGAGCATCATAAGCGTCCTTTAGTGGGATAAGACTCCCGTTAATTCTTTATAACTCTATTTGCCTGAACTGACGTGTCACGTCGAGATAAAGTTAATACATTAGTCCCAAGATTACCGCACCAAAGCCGGCTTCCTTCGCTTCACGCTTATCAAACGCCTATTTGTTTGCGTTCATAGATGACTGTTTATATATTGAAGTAAACCAAAGACATAAGTGAGTTTCATATTTTATTTCATTTGAATTTTCTCTTATCCATGGGAACAGATGTCCTTCTCGTTCGCCACACTGCCTATGCGCTGTTAAACTTTTACTGAGGCCATTCCTGTGTGGTCTTTTAAATGACACTTAGTATACTTTTTGCCACTACAAGGTCAATATTTTCGTACCACAGAGGGTTGCCCTTTAAAAACAGCTATTGTCACTTTTTTAAGCCCCTGTTCAGCTTGGCAAATGAATAAGGTTCAAAAACTTGTTGTTATGAACAACTCTGTCGTACCGCTCTGTAAAAAAATCCTCATGGTAGGTTAGAGAGATTATAGATCTATAGATTTCTTCTAGTATTAAATACAATAATTTTGTAATATGTGCCTCATTTCTCTCTGTATCACTAATGACGATTTTTCTGAGCCCTTGTAAAAAATAAATTATTATCGCAAATGTAACAATACAAAGTCGACATTGATACATCTATTCACACCACTTGAGAATATTCAAGAAAAGGAACGAATGCAAAATACCCGACAATTTTCGTGCTCTCCCGCAACGCGCGTGAAGATAGAAGGAATTGTACTGTTAAAAAAAGTGCTGGTTAATATGACGAACGATTGCTTCCTTACTATTGCGGTCCAAAGTCGACGATTAAATAAATGAAGCACAGTGGGTATCTTGTAATCGAACCCAAAAATGATTCACCTGACCTTTCTGTTCAAAAATATCGTCTCTCTCTAAAACGAGGGCGAAACGAGAATAAGTCAATATCAAGACGTACTCTAACGTTTGGGCTTAAAACCCCACACTTGCATCTAATTTCTTCTTACTGTGATAACATCACCCCCCNATTTAGTAAGGTCTTGATAATAAAGGAAATGGTCACCATCTAAAGAGGCTCTTGATTGTTGCACAAATTCTCTTTGTCAGGCAACACCTTAGGAAATGTCTAGAGAACAGTATGGAGAATATGCAAACTGATGTTAGGGTGTAAAAGCTTAAACGATATTTGAAGCGATTACTTCGTTTCGTAAAAGCTTCTTTATGAAAAAAGTTTCAAGCGCTGTTTTAAACGTTCAAGAAAAAAAAAACGTTTCCCTCAAAGGACACTTCATTGATCTTCCACTCTTATATTAACAAGTGATAATTCAGCACTACTTCATCATGAACTCAGTGAAGTCTGTAAGACCGCTGATCGGTGCTGACGACATGCGCAGTCCCACTGAAGGGGATACCTTCCGTACTGTTGGACTACTGGGGACTGTGAAGTTTTCAGCTGCAGCTTTTGAGTGCACGCGCTTAATCTGACGTAATCGTTCGAGCCAGTTACAACCGTAGGCGTCAGTTGGGCGCTTTTGACTTTGGTGAATTACTGAAGCCATCTGGGAAAAAAGTCATAACAATGATAATCAGTCCAGGTAAAGGAGTCTTTGCTTCAAAGAATGAACACATTGAAATCTAAAAGTGTTTCGAAAGAAAGCTTTCCTCTTCTTACGTATTTAAGATTACAGTTCGCTTTGCTTAAACCTTGCTTTCATCTGTACTAATGCTCAAGCCTGATGCTCGACGGCAACAAGACTCTTGGTTCATTTTGTGCAGAACCATACCTGCGTCGAATGCAAAATAATTAAACAAAAGCAACATTTCATGTTCTTTCTTCAACACTTGACAATCCGTTTGAAAAAATCGGGAGCGAAACAAAAAGAATAAAAATGACAAGGACGACAACATTTTTCTCGATACCTGTTTACAGAAGAAAAGTGGTTTGTGAACCACGCTTTTTGATTCAAGCAATTTGTACGAGTGCAGCCACGTAACTTGGTTGTTTTCAAGTGGTTGAATTTACGCGTATTTGAAAACAGTGTTCGAACTGCTCGATGAGTTTTTACTTCTTCGATTAATAAAGCTTTCTATATAACATTTTTATTGGCTGAGAAAAAAATGATCTGCTTTTTGAAGCATAAAACTCCATTACATGTTTTAAATCATACTCACATTGATATGTACTACAAGCTGACGAACCAATCGCGGCAAGTTGTTGTCTGAGATGACTCGAGTCCCTGTATCTGTGAGTAGATCCTTCAGCTCGTCTTTGCATCTCACAGTCACCATGTTCGATGCATTGTCGAGTGGTTTGATCAAAACCTCAGCAAAATTAAACTGACCCTAGCAACTCAAAAACGAATTGAGAACACATGTGTACATATGCCGGAAAATTCAAGTGAAAAAAAAAAGGGAAAAGTGCTATTGGGATGTGACAAAGTGCAGTAATTTTTAGGACGGTTGGATACTTAATGACACTCAAAATTAAGATTCTTTATGTACTATGGGCAATAAAAGAGAAAAGTAAAATCGGCTTCTAGGTACCATAGGAGAATCCGCGTTTCCTTCACGTTTTTAACACTTTATATTTATACAAAAAAAAAAAAAAGGCTCAAAAGCCTCCATTGCAATTGTTTTCAAGAGACGTCTCCCTTCCCCGGTACCTACGAATATCTTCTTACTCTAGCATAACAAAGGATTGAGACGTAGGAGTGTGCTCAAAGACAGCGAGAAAAAATTCTCTTTGTATCCGTCGGCAGTTGGCCATCACTCTTCATAATAACCATGGAAGGCTGAGCAATTAATCAGAATTCAATAAAATCAGTGTTTAGTGGAATGTTAACCGCCAGAGCCAGCTCTTCAAGGCTGGGTTTTCCAGCGGCCTAAACAACCCAGGAGCGAAGCAACAACTCACCTTAATTCTGCCGAATTTGACCGTCTGTTGCGAGTCGTTGTAGACTATGGTAACAAAGTCGTTACCGATGTGCATCTTTTTAGAGTTGCAGCCTGGGTCCGAGTCTCTGGTTGGCATCAACGTGGAAACGTGGAATATGACTGAGGAGAGAAATTTTGAATCACGGATAGGGTTACTTCGGTTTCGACAGCATGGAGCAAGCAGAAGTTATCACACCCCTCTCCCCGGATGGAAAACTGGTCTATGGCAAACTACCCCCAACCCTAGCCTTTCAATTTCCTCTAACAAGATTCCGGTCCCTGGCGTAGGTTGGGTATCACCGACCCATGTCTCATTCATGATTGACACAGATAACTTTTCGTTTTGCTGCTCTCATTGCGCTATGTTTACGACCTGAATGCCTGAACAGGCTAACTTCTAACCTGGAGCTTTGGACCGCGAGTCTAACGAGGCATTCATTAAGAAATATCATTTTTGTTACCCTGGCAAATATCATCCTGCCAGCTGTATGCAAATTCACCATCTGCACCATTCCTATCAAGTCCCCCAGTGTAAATCTCGGCAGGTGGACAATCCCTCAGTCGAACAAGCGTCCCGAGACCCGCGAGAAACTGCATATAACGAGAAGAGCCATACACGTTGCTTAAAATTGCCGCCTCGTTGTCGTGCTGCCCAGGCCCTACATATATAACGCCGATCTTGTGAGTGTCATAGGGAGGAATGCGATCAAGGCATTTGATAGCTCTTTCAATAACCTATACAAAAAGAGAAAATAAACGAATAAATCAAAATAACAAATACATTAAGACAAAAAAAAAAAATAGAAAATAGATATCATTACAACGTAGTTCTCAGTGGTAATTGAGTTTTGGCTTGCGAAAAGGTGCACGTTATTAGCCCTTTAGCGTGAGCATTTCTTCGCCTGCAATTAACAAATGGTAAACACCACAGCGTACACTATTGAGTTATGGATGCACGCGGGAGGTTGCTAAGCACGAAAGAAGCGTAAGAGTCGCTCGAGGCGATAGCCGAGAGCGACTCTAGCTTCTTGAGTGCTTAGCAAACCTCCCAAGTGCATCCATAACTCAATAGTGTACGCTGTGGTGTTTACCATTTGTTTTATAACATAACATTGATACATTGTAGCTAAAGAGTTCCCTTTTATTTAACAAATCTTACG